CTGTACCCTTGCCAGCGCCGGTCTTCCACCTCACGGTGGCGGCGAGGGAGCTTCTGTGCTCGGTGGCATACCGCCCGAACAGGGGCGACCCGCCCGAATCCATCGGAAGGCTTCGCCCTGGGGGCGGTTCGCCCGAACCCATCGGATGGCTTCGGCCTGGGGGCGGTGCGCCCGAAGTTGGGGGCGGTCCGCCCGAAGACCGACACGAGCACCATATCACGCCGGCCGCCCACCGAAGCCTAACGCATCTGCGCCTCAGAGCAAGATACCAATGTCGGCCCACCCGGGTACTCCATACTCTTGCCCTGCTGAGGGATGATCCACGGGGCCTCCGCTCCCCGTGTCTCGTTCGAGTTGGGCAAGTGTACGGGAACCCGCACCGCTGCCTCCCGAGGACGACGGCGCTGTATCAACCAGGGCCCCCGCACCCTGAACCCCCCTGAGGAATGAACACGGGGGCCAACCCCCTCCGTGATTGTTCGGGGCTGCCAAGGGTTCGGGAACCCACTTAGCTGCCATCTTTGAGGAATGCTGGGTTTTCAACCGGAAACCGGGATCAGCATGTATGCTCGGCATCGTGCCCCGGTGGAAGGGCCTAGTAATATGAACGACTCCGGTCGGATCATGAACCTTGGGCCAAAAGAGGCCTCGTGGTTAGTCAAGTCAAGTCAAGACATCCTCCCGCCGACGGTCTTCGCCGCAGATGAGTCTTAGACTGTCCGGGTGAGCCGCACGACCTGTGTGCCACTTCTCGACAATGTTCCTGCAGGTCTCGCGGTCTTGCCTTTGGGAGCCCCCTCCTGATGGACGACGACGGCCACCTCGTGCTCCGTGTGCGCAACCTCTGCCCCGCTCCCTTTTTTGTACAGAGGGGGAAGTGCCTCACTAAGCTGCGTGTCGCCACCCTTGGTGATGTGCGCACGACGACGGCGTCGTCGACGGCGTCCCCTCCGGCAGCAGGACAGCTCCCGAAGCCCCGTCGCGGCCTCCTGAGCGGGTAATCGGCCGCCCTCGTGGAGTTCCAGGACGTTTCCTCCTGCTCCGGGGAGATCGGGCACTGCACGTCTGTCGAGCTGCACGTAACCTAGCTCTGCCTCTAGCACCACCTCAACATCCTGGCACGGAGCTCCTCAGGGCGGGCCACCGGCTCCGCACAGATGCCCTGCGGGTTGGCCTACCCATTGCATCGCAGACGGCGGACCACCGTCTAGACCCAAGGACCCAAGTCTTGTGCCTACTGGCGAAAGTACATTCTCTCACCGCTTAAGGGGAGTTTTCAGTTTAATAGCGGTGTGATATTCGGGAGTAGTCCGTACAGTAGTTCGCACACACTCCTGGGGCGGGGGTTGGGCATGACCCGACAGTTGACCACGCCGTGCCGACCCTAGGTATGAGCCGTGCAGTGTCTGCAGACGCTACCCGGCTGCGCATCCTTGGGTTTGTAGAACCGGTGACCGCAAAGTGGTCACACCACACTGAACGTAATAATGCGTTCAATACGTGAAAGGGGTCCACCGTGTTTCCGGGAAATTAAGAGGGGTAAGGGGGGGGGGGGGCATTGCCCTTACAAACTTACCGTGGGTGTTCAGTCCCAGCCATGATTAGAGGGTCTGCCTTTACCCAGAAAATCGAAAAGTTGTAGCAACCAGCGTATGGTTACTGCAGGGACAACCATAAAATATGGTTGAGGCAACAACAGCACAGGTGTATCAACCAAAAATACGGTTTTCACCATTGACAGATCACTGTCTCAACCATATTTTATGGTTGTCTCTGAAAGAACATTTAGATGGTTCCTACAACTTTTCATTTATCCGGGTGTTTGCCTGATTCTTCCGGAGCGTTGGCTTACTGGATAGTCGCTGCCGTTACTTACTTCGTGCGCGCGTATGTGCTCGATAGAGATAAAGAGTGTCTGTGTGTGTGTTACCTGGCCTGGCCGGGACAGGCTGTCCCTGTCATCCTGCTGCAGCCGGACTTCGCTGCGGAGGCGGGGGAGAAGTAAGGTGCCCCCACAATGAACAAGAGCCATTGGCCACGAGCCATAAGCCTCAGACCATCTTTCCTAAAACCGCCCAAATTCACGGAGTTTTTAACGCGAATGTCAAAAGTAAACTAGCCAACTGCAAGTGCGAATGCGTAAGGCCCAAAAAAAAGGCCCTAGGTCCCGCGGGGGAGAGCCGTGGATCATAGCCCATGGCTCA